AATTCGAAATAATTCTAATAATATCAAATAAGTCAATTAATTCGTTCGATGATATTTAAGATGTGTATTTTTCAATTCATAAAATCGAATCATCATCAGGAGCTATTAATTCTGAATCTGAATGTGATTTTAAACAATTGACTTGAGGTCGACTGTAGGCGATTTAAATTTAAATCAAATAAATATAATATATTGGCCGGTATTAAAAATATAATCAAATATGCGGAATTTTAGAAAAGGTCACAAACACCAGAAAGCTTAATGTAGTATTCTAAGCTTTTTGCGTGTTTTTAGTATTTTTTTATAAAATGCTCTAAATATCATATTATTGCTAATTTTGAAGCTTTAGTTTGAATAAATCTCAATCTTGCATTTATAGAATTTATTTAATTGCGTTAGGTTATGATTAAATAAACAAATTTTTAGATATATAAATTTTCTATAAATCTTTCAAACAACTTAAATTTGTACGATAGGTATTTGATAGGTATATTTATAAATTTATTGCAATCAAACAGTAAGTAGATTAGAAGTACAATTAGTAAAACCTAGTGCGTTTTTTTAATTTTAAAATAGATAATTATAATATTTAACGAATTTGTAGATAGACAAATAAACTAAAATTCTTTTATACAAAAAAATATATAAACTAGTGGGTATCCACATATTACTTACATAATATCAAATCATGCAGGTATGTAATAGAATCTAGTGCGTTTTTCTGCTTTTTTTAGCTGCTGCTTCTAAACTAGCTATTGCAATAGCTACAATAAAAAAGATTTTTGTAGCTAGATCTATTTTCTGCAAGTCTTTCATACAAATTAATGTTATACAACTAGTAATTGAATTATAAAATTTGAACAAGATGAAACTCATGAAATCCATTTGTCAAGCAAATACAATCCATTTGCTATTTAAGTTTGAATTTTTGAATCTGGATGTCCCAGAACTCAACGTCAAACCCAATTTTTGTGAACTTATTTTTTAAAATATAAATTTTATAATAGTCATGGTATTAATTTGGCAGACAATTATAAATGCAAAAGTGCGTACTGTGCGCCTCGAAATTATTTTTAACGAACTCGTTAGAAAGTGATGACCAGTTTCACTGTGCACTCGAAAAAACAGGGCTGAACTAGATATTCATAAACACATTTAATATATTTCTCTTTTCATATTTGAAATTCATGAATAAATCCTAAAATTGATACACAAATATTTATAAACTTAAAGTACCTTAAAGCAAATTGCTGTAACTTTCCGTGTCGAAAATAAAATTCGTGAAAAAATAAGCCTTGTTGTCATAAATGTGAAATTTATTACTAATTTTTTGAAAATTATAACTTTTTTACAAATCAAATGGTTTTTGATTTATGCAAAAATGCTTGATCCTTGTTCTTGAATTGACGAAAATTTGTATTCACACACACATGCACACATACTTCAATGTCTTCTATGGTATGCCAAAACGTTCAGAAACTCTCGAAACGTGTAGATATATAAAAACTATCGTTTTCGATTATTTTACGATTACTATAGTCGATTATTTTACGATTACTGTGTTGTAAATAATAAGAGAATTATATCAAGTTGATGTGTAATTTAGTGGCCTATTCTCGGATAAAATAGGCATATTATGGTAATGCTATATTTTAACATAAAACTTATTCTACAAATCGCACAAACGTTAAATAAAATTTTATCATAAGTGCAGATCTCTGGTGTCTCCTGGAAAGCACATACGTGAAGTTAGATTTTATTTGTGAAACGTCTGATCGCAAGTTTTAGACAGTTGATTACTACCAACTCATACGAAGATAGACCCATAACATAACATTACTATAACATATCTCCTTAGTTACAAGTTATAATTCGTATGATTTTAAGAGTAAAAGTGCCTACCTGTGCTTAAAAATGTATGGTCACCTATTATTGTTAACGCATGACCAATGAATGCTTATTTGATTAACACTAATGAAAGTTTCTGCCTTGTTCGTGTACTATTTATCTGTGAAACATTGTCAACAACTCACTTAAATTAAGAGACATGGAAAAATTTAGCTTTTTGCTATAACTAAAAATGGGCAACTACTGGATCGCCTTCTAGAAACACCAGAATAAGAAGAACACATAGTTCAAGTTGTTCTTCAAATATATAATAAACAGTTTTCATGAAAATGTCAGAAATTTACTGCAATTCGATAACAATGCTTTTAAATGCGTTTTAGTAATCCTCAGTCTATTGTCAAACAAATTCCAATTTCCATGTAGGTCAACTACTCAACCGTCCTCATCAGAATGCCAAGCACGTACCATGGAAAAGGTGTCAGTAATGACTTATCTTCGGAATTAATGATTCGTATCGAACAAGTGTCATTTTAATAGTAATATTATTATTGAATACTCGATTTGCAAGAGATTCTAAGTGTCAATGTTTACTTTTTTATTATACACTGTCGTCCGAGTAATTTGCTAGTTCCGGGAAGTACGTTCTGAAAGTGAAACCGATGGCGATATCGCGTGCGATGACTTAAGATTTTTTTTCATTTTTTTTCAATATTGGGTACAGAATCATTTTAATAATTTGTAATGTAAATGTTGACATAATATTGGAAAATTGCTATGAATTTTCGAGTAATTCAAATTCGGGGAAAATATGGAGTTCGCTAAACTTAGTATTGGATATTGACTTGGGTGATCAATTGGTAATATTCCATGGGGATCGACTTCCAAATCAAACATTTTAAAAATTCAAGAAAGTCAAAATAAGAAATAAATAAAGTAGTAATTTACAAACATATTTTGAGGTAACTGCAAACTTTTACTGAACTTAATTACTAATCTTTTGATCGTATCAGAATTTGCCAAAATAACCAAAAATGAACATCAGTCTAACAAAATGTGTTGTTTGATCTTTCAGTTTGTCTCAAATGAATTTGTGAAGTAAATAAATTTAAAGAGCTGTTTTTTTAGATCTCTTGGTATATCTTTATAGTGTCTTACAACTACTTTATACTATGTTATGGAGAAAACGCAAAAATCTTGGAATTTATCACTTTTTGCGTCATTGCACATTCCTTAATAACGCGAATTCATTACAAATTATAATCAAGAAAATCATCAAGAATCTATTGAACGGTTATTGGAAATATTGTTTGATGAAGTGAACATCCATCTATTGTTATAAATATTCATCATTATTGAATATTCAATATGTAATGAGAAATGCGAGAGAGAATTTAGAAAATTCAAACTATTCTTGGGACGAGATTTTATTTTCAGCGCAACGTAATAAATTAATTACTTAATCCATTACAAAATACTATTGACAAATATACTTACGTTACGTTGTTATAATTTTTGGAAAAATATAAAAAATATGGTAATTTTTTTGAAATTATCCTAATTTCTGAAAATATCTTTGCAATTTAAATGATATAAGTGAAATGCTCGGCAATCACAAGTTCCCGAGTTAAAATCCAGCGTTAGGAGTAACTTGGTATCAAACAGTAGAGATATCCATTTTTGTTTGAAATTATTGATCATAAATATGTTCCCAAATGAAATGTTAAACTTCATCACAGTTAGTATAGAACAACCATGGGGTTGTCTTGAAATAAAAATATTTTAAAAATGGAATAGGATACTCTTTGGAATGAAAATATTAATTATCAGAACAGATTATGGAATTCCAAATTTTATTTGCTGTATAAAAAAGCTTATCTTATAAGTATTTCGCAAAAATTTAATAAATATTATAATAAGAAGAAATGAGGTTGGTGCTTGAAAAAATGTTAAGAACGTGGGCCTGCATAAATTAGTTAGATTTCAACATCGGCCAGCTTGATATCAAGCAGTATGACATTAGTTCCGATATCTGTAAAAAAACTGAAGAACTTCTATTTATGCCAGTTCTAATATTTATCCTAAAAATAATATTTCTAATAAGAAAATAATTCAATTTCAACACACTTTAACTTTAAATCTATTTAAATTTGTGATTTGTAAATTTATTATTATTATTAAGAAACTTGTCCAAGCAAGTCTCAGCACAGACTGAATAATTTATTTTAATTATTTTTACCCAAAAATTAAACATAAGTAGGTTATAAAATATATATTTATAGACTGGTAACATAGTTGTTATAATAATAATAAAATCAATAAATAATTTTCAATATTTGTGTGTATTCTATTTTTAAAAATATACATCTATAAATATATATATATATATATATATATATATATATATATATATATTATAAATAAATTTAATTTAATTCAAAAACCCTTCAGCATCATTAATAATGTTGTAAATATTCTTTATTACTTTCATCAATATTTTTATATTACTGCACATATAAAATATATAAAATTTATACATATATAAAATATTTGCACTGTATATACTACAATATAATAAAAATCTTTCAAACACTTTTTTACAATCTCAATAAATAAATAAATAAATAAACATATATCTACTACCCAGTTCTTTTCCTCTTACCGCCAATTTTACCCATCTCTTCCTTCAATTTTTTTATACAATCGAAATGGTGCTATATATGAAACCTGTATAATTTTTTACTCATCTCTACAGGATCGATAAAATTATCATCCATGAATTGCAATTTATGCTTCGTAAACAAATGTATTTTTTGAAAAGGCTCCAAAGCTGCAATTGCTAAAGCTGCTAAATTATCTGCAGCCTTTTTGTTGTTGGCTTTTAACATCTTTTGACGATTAGAAAGGACTTCTTCAGGTTTACTTGTTGAAAGGATATCATTTGATGGTGATATGTAGGGATCGTTTGGACCAGGTTGTTGGTGGTTGAAGTATGATGTAAGGGAATCTAAATTGAAATCACTCGTGCTGCTGATTTTTACCAGGACGTCAATATTCATGATATGAAATAAAAATTAAAGAAATTAATCTTTTTAAACTTTTTTCTGAAGCTTACTGTAACATTTAGTTCAACATTTGACTATAGTTACCTTTTATGATATTTCTCCTGATTTAAGTAAATTGTCTTTTAATATTAGAATATGATTTATTTGCATTTGCAGTGTGTACCTTTCATCATCCTTATGGCAAAATTATATTGTCGAGTATAAATAGATCTATTCGAGGCCCGAGTAATCCAAATATCTGCACAAATACTCAACTAAAGCCTGAATAATAATAATAAATTATAAATTCTGTGTAGTTCTTAATTAATAATTATGCTTGAATAGAAAACCCTATTTTTATACTTAAATTATATTAAATGTTAAGATTAAAAATAAATAGTAGTCTGCCCAAAGTTTAAAATACAAATACTTGATAAACAAAATATATTTTTTATCAAGTATGTGCCATGAAATAAAGATAAAGGAAACTTTTGTAAAGAAAATAGCACAGATTCACATGACATTGAATTTGAAGCAAAAATGCATTTTTTAATCACACATATATATATATATATATACTAGCTGACCCGGCAAACGTTGTTTTGCTAAGTAAGGTATATTCTAAACAACTTCTAGAGAATCAAAAATATTAATACTTCTAGTGTATAAGGATGTGTTGTTTGAATGCTGTATACAATTAGGTATTATAAAAACAATAACCTCATTAGTTTGTCTATATTTTGTCTGGAAGCTTTATACACTTTGTATAGAAAACATGGTATAATCCAATCCAAGTCTTTTTTGGTCTTTCGACTTATTGATTACATTTCAAGATTTTCAGATTCTTTTTAGATTCTGGATTTTGTGTATAATCGTAAAAAAATACTATTGAGCTTATACAAAATTTTTAAATTTCGGCGAGGACACATAAAAAATGAATTAATAATTTCTTCTTTTTAAACAGTTTCAAGTAACATTCGATGAATTAAAATAAATTTAATAAAAAGTATATATGTAGAGCAGGCTCAAAGGTCCAATTTAACTTTGATCAAATATTAATTATATTATAAAAATCAAACCAATTATATCACAACAAATAACACATTTCAAATGAACAATTATCTGACTACATTCAGTAAAATTATCAGCTACTTCATCATTGTAGAAATGTGCTTTCTTGATGTCTTTCAAAAATTTGTTATCTAGACCTTTTTACCCCATAGTCGGAGTAACTTGGAACGGCCAGATGGCAAATAGGTTTAATGTCTTATTTTAATTTTAAAGGTATTTTACAAAATAATTACATTTTTAACTAATGCTAAAAAACTACCGACGGAAGAAAATACTTTTATTATGGATTTTCAAAGATTACCGTTTATCTCTCGATAGCAAAGTCATAAGAATCAAGGTTTATAGCTGGTTATACATCCTTTTCCCTCTGCATTCAAATATTATTGTTAAACAATGCTTAACTTTACTTTTTTGGCACATCGGTGGTGGACCTTTTTAATCCCGGACCTCCATATATTACCATTTATTTTTAAATGAATAGTGGAAATTATAACTGGGGAAATGTTATTCGGCAAAATGTCCCTTTCGAGAAAATATATGTTCTGAATTTAAATAACATAAATAAAAATTAATATAACCTTGAAATATATTTTATAAATACCAATGAGTATATAATTATACAAATAAGATCTTTCAGAGCACCGTGTTTGAGAAAAATATGCCAAAAAGTGCGTTTTTATATTAACATTTCAAAAAAATTGATAATTTGAGTTTTTTGTAACACTGCGGCCCGTTTAATAACGTTTTTGTGTATAAATATAACTACGAACAAAACTACTTACTACAATTTAATCATAACTAAATAATATTTACGTAAAACATCCTATTAAAAGTAATTGAACATCATCTGTCAAAAACATTTGACATTTGACGTATTAGCCACCGTCCATTGTTTTATTTAAATTACGCTTCTACAAAAATTTTCAAATTAAAAATGTAAAGTTTCTACGCGATTTTGAAATAATATCTCACCTTTCCGACCACCTCTGGATTGGCACAAATTTTTCAAGACTAAGACTGGCCAAATCGGTTTAGCCGTTTTAAGTAATCCAAATATCTGCACAAATCCTCAACTAAAGCCTGAATAATAAATTAATTATAAATTCAGTATAAAAATGTATAAATTATATTAAATGTTAGGATTTCAAATCTCTTAATAATATAATAATAATAATAATAATAATATATAGTATTTTGCTTGAATGCAGGTACATGGTATGAGACAACCATGTCTAAATAATTCTCTTACCTTTTTCCCATTTTATACACAAATTTCTGTGTCTGTGCTTTGACTTTCAGTTCCCTGTATTTTTTCTATCTGCATTCTTCTTCTTCCCAATCCTTTCGGTCCTTCTATTTTCAGTCCTTCGTGTAGGAGGTACTCGTTTTGCAGAATGGGCCCAGGCTAGTTTCCTTTACTTTTCAGGATCGAGCTCAGTAGAATTCTTTCTTTGTCTAGAGTCGACTTCATAATATAAGTACACTATCTAGCCTAGCGTGCCATGATCACCTCGCTGGAAGCTTGATTGAGTAAGGTTCAAAACAACAAATTTACAATTTTTCTCATAACTAAAAATACATGTGATATTTGTTGGGGAGAGGAAGGGTAATTTTGAATATCACCATGTATCACCGAGGTCCCAGAATCCTTAAAAAATCGAACACGTGATTAATGGACAACCCCTTGGATGTTTTTTTTGTCTCTCGCAGATCTTGTGTAACCAGTGTGATTAGGTGTAACATCTAATTTGGTACATATTTGCATGCGCTTCAACTTGCTTTAGAATGAGCCTTCTCTGTATCACTATAATTGACCCATAATTTTAACCGATGGACCAGATAGCCTAGATTAGTTCTTGAAACTTGTGACCCAGCCGATAAGCAAGTACAACTGTCTGCGAGATCTGTAAGAATAACAAAGAATTTGTGTTTATGGATTCAGCAGTGTAATAATATAAAAAAATATATGTTTAGAAGACAATAAGTCTATGATTTATTTCATAGGAACGCTTGTACAGCCAGATAACCTCACAAACAACACTAGAACTTGTACAAGCCCATTTTTAGCAACAAATACATTTATTTTAGAATTTTCTACATTAATTATCATACGAGAATATTAAATTCATTCAGAATTTACGTACATGCAGCAAAATACAGCAAAAAAAGCACTTATAACAAAAGTGTTATTTTGACGTTTATGACATTTTAGGGTTATGTTTTGCAAAATTGTAAAAATTGTAATAACACACCAAAGACATAATTTTATAACAATTTGTGACTGCCAACTCATACAGCAATAATAAAATAACATAATATTTCATGTTTTACCCGAAATTGGCGTCTAAATCCATAAATCCCCATGATTAATCCGTTACACTTGCCCATGTAATTTTTAATTTTTGAACAAATAGTGAGTACTGAGTAATGTTTTTAATTATTATTAGCATATTTATCGTGGCAAAAACAGTTTTTCACCTATATAATTTGATTTAAATCGAAATTTCTTATTTCAGGGGATTTTTTTACAACATCCGGGTCCGCCATCTTGGATCCGGGTATAAAAGGCGGGGCTAATTGACAAAGGGCTCATTAGTGTTTCAGATTTCGAAGGGTAAACATTGAAGTGAAAAGTAAAGTGAAAAGTGAAATAAGTAGTGAAATAAATAGTGAAATAAGTAGTGAAGTGAAGTAATAAGTGTATTTTAATATGATCCAGTGTGCAGCATGTAAGCAGAAAAAGTAAGTGGTTTATTTTTCAAAAATACTTAATTGTAAAATTAAATAAGTAAAGAAATGCAGTTAATATTTTTAAGATTAATGGCTTTGTCTAAATTTTGGAATAGTTCTTATTGAAAAAATTTAATGATAAAAATATTTTATTATTAGAATAAGTAAATAATTTTATACTCATTTTTTATTTTTTGAGTTCATCACCCACCAAAAAAATTGCAGCCCCAAACAATGACCAAGGAAAAAAAAACATTGACTTTTCGAGATTTGTAAATTGAAGGAACTATTATTGTTGGAGAGGAAGAGTCGAGTAACAGACTATGATTCATATTTATTTTTCATTATTTCACCATTGTATTAATTAAACTGTTTTAATAAAAAAAAAGCTCTGTTATAACTGATTTTTATTTCAACCATTCAATTAAAATGAATCTTAACTTATATATTAAATTTGTATTTTTCTATATTTCAGGCTTGCATTTATTGAATTTTTTTTTCTTAACAATAATCATAGAAAAACTAACTTGATTAGAATTTCAATTTAGGAAAATAAAGGGCAGCACAGGTATAAAATGTGAATTGAAACCCCTAGAACTACATCTTGGAAGGTTTGTATGAGTAGTACAGTAAACAAAATCTGCATAATTTTTAATATTGCAAATAAAATCAAAACATGCAAAAGATACATTTTCAAATATATTACAAACATATTTTTATAAAATAATGAAAATTATAACTGATTTTATGATAAATATTAATTAATATATTTCCACAATTATGCATAAATGACCGACTAATGTTATTTACTCAATGACTTAATTATAAAATATTAGAAACTTTGAAACTAAGAAGAAAAAAGCATAGGAGTCTTGACGAATAAATAACAAATTAATAGATCTTAAAAAATTAAATATATATTAATATCAAAACTGAGAGAAAACTAAATTCCTAGGATTCATTTATGAGGCATTCTTCTTTAATTAATTTTTTAATAAATTTGTATTTTTCAATATTTCTGCCTTAAGGGGAAATTCTAGTGTAGAAATTCAAAAAAATCGATCTTTTTATGTCATATGTTCAAAGTTTAACTATCTAAGAATATAGGTACGGGAAGGTTTTTAAAAATTTGAATTATTTTCGGAGATATAGGCATAAATGCGTTTTTCTCAGAACAGAATTTTTCAGTACCAAAGTTTTAATCGACCGATTCACTTGAAATGTTCAGAGAGTCTTGTTTATAGACCTATCTATAGCTAGGATTATCACCAAATTCCAATTTTTCTATTTTTAAATAATTTTTTATTTTTAAACTCAAAAAAAAAAAACAGAAATTCGCCTGACTCCGCATGGCTTTTGTCAATATTAGTATGGAAAGTTCTTCATCAAATGAAATTGTCATAACATTTTGCAACTTTTATTTGAAGAAACACTAACTCTCAATCAAAATACATTAAAATATTAGGTATGGTATAAATAAATAAATTTGTTTTGCAATCAACAATATGAGATTCAATCTAATCTTATGTGAATTTATAAAACCAGATGGTACAAGTGTTTTCTCAATTTATATTTTAAACATGTGCTGCAAATCTATTATCATAAATTCAAATTTTAATCAAGGTAACGTCAAATCGAAAGTCATAGAGATCTATTTTGCTTATTTATCTATGGCCAAAAAAGTGAAACGCGCGTTTGTTCGGAGATAACTCCCCATGGTTGTGGCCTAGAGTAGTGTGAATTTATAAAACCAGATGGTACTAGTGTTTTCTCAATTTACATTTTATATATGTGCTACAAATCTATTTTCATAAATTCAAATTTAAATCTAAGTAACGTCAAATCGCCAGGCATAGCAATCTATTTATCCTTATTTATCTATGGCCAAAAAGGTGAAACGCGCGTTTGTTCGGAGATTAGTTACATGGTTATGGTCTAGAGTAGTGCGAATTTATGAAACCAGATGCCTCAAGTGTTTTCTCAATTTACATTTTATACATGTGCTGCCATCTATTTTCATAAATTCAAATTTTAATCACAACAACTTCGGTATCTCATTTTTATTTAATTTATTTAAATTTGAAACAAAATAATATTTCACGCGTATTTGTTCACTATTTCGGTTAAAATAGCCTCTAGTAGTGCTCAAAATGACCACTACAAACCCTTCAGTCAATTTGAGTTCACACATAGCGAATTAGCACAATAATTGAAGGCCTATGGTTCTGATATACAAACCACGCAAGCATATTTAAAAATGTCGTATGCCTAATTTGTTACTAATTTACGATAAATATATCCACAGATAAATGATCAAAATATATCTATGTTTGTTTAATATTCTTATACATTTTAAAATTATTTATTGAGACTTATGCATTTTTTCGCATATAAAATTTGTCAATAAATAATTTAATTTAATATAATTAATAATCAACCTAATAAATAAAAATTATAAAAAATATATATATGTATATATATATATATATATATATATATTATATATATATAAATATGATGATGAATTTGATGTTGACATATATATTAACAAAGTCTAGTAATCGGGCATAACATCAATAAAACATGAATTTCTTTCAAAAATTTATTTTAAATCCATACGTTTCGGCAATAATCCTAGCCTTGTGTAATTGTAGGTACTATTTACTATTTTTTCTTTTCACTCCAATTCAATTGTTTTTAGTTTTTAATTTTATTTTAGTTTCCACTGAATGAAGGCTAGGATTATAGCCGAAACGTATGGATTTAAAATAAATTTTTGAAAGAAATCCATGTTTTATTGATGTTATGCCCGATTACTAGACTTTGTTAATATACATATACATATACATATATTATATTATACTACATATATATTGAAGTGGTCCTTAATATGGACATTTTCGAATTTCCTTGCTTCCAGTGGCTCAATGGATTCCAATTTGATAAAAAAAATCGCTACTAAAAGTTTTAGCTCTTATATTATTTTAGAGAATTTTTTTTATCAATTTGGAAGCATTTGCATCAAAGAGCAAGGAAATTCAAAAATGCCCATATTAAGGACCACCCACCGCACTCCAACATGTTTTAACATGGTGTATAATCTAATAATTAAAATTTTTCAGGTTATAATATCGTTATTACTACATGAGCCTACACGTTCCAGCTTGGATAAAAAGCAGTCGTCGACAAATATGCTTGGAATGGAAGAACATTCTACAAAAGGTAGGATTTTTTTTATTTTCAACACCTAGTATATATATAGCGAAAATATAATGGTCAAACAATGAATAAAATTAATTGGGTAAGGCACTTTACAGTGCAAATGTGTGGATTTTCATGTCTTAGGGATAATACCTAGTATATAAGCTTATGACGGAAATATAATATTGACCATGCAATATACAAAATGCATACAAAATAGGCGTGTACAAAAATAAATACGCCAGGCACTCTCGAGTGCACCTGTAGGGATTTTCAGGTCTTGGGGATAATATTTAGTATTTAACTGAAATAAATATAACAATAGCCATGCAATATGCAATATGCAATATACAACATACATACTAAACAAACATTTCCAAAAAAATTAAGTGAGGTACTCTAGAGTGCACCTGTAGGGATTTTCAGGTTTTTGGGATAATAGCTAGTATATAACTGAAATATAACAATGGCCATGCAATATGCAATATGCAATATGCAATATACAACATACATACGAAACAAACATTTCCAAAAAAAATAAGTAAGGTACTCTAGAGTGCACCTGTAGGGATTTTCAGGTTTTTGGGATATAGCTAGTATATAACTGAAATATAACAATGGCCATGCAATATGCAATATGCAATATACACATACATACGAAACAAACATTTCCAAAAAAATTAAGTAAGTACTCTAGAGTGCACCGGTAGGGATTTTCAGTTTTTGTGGATAATAGCTAGTATATAACTGAAATATAAACAATGGCCATGCAATATGCAATATTGCAATATACAACATACATACGAAACAAACATTTCCAAAAAAATTAAGTAAGGTACTCTAGAGTGCACCTGTAGGGATTTTCAGGTCTGGGTGTAATAGCTAGTATATAACTGAAATAAACAATGGCCATGCAATATGCAATATGCAATATACAACATACATACGAAAAACATTTCCAAAAAAATTAAGTAAGACTCTAGAGTGCACCTGTAGGGATTTTCAGGTCTTAGTAGTGTTCTTTCCTACATGCGGTAAATAACTTTATATTTGTATTTATTTTTTATCTTTGTATTTCATTTCAATTTCAAAAGTAATATTCATTAACTTCTCATCATTTTCGAAATTTAATTTCCTTCTATAAACAGTATTGCCAAGCAAGTTTTTCAATTCTTCAATGTTGTCCCTTAACATTCCGCATTCTTTGTTGCGTTGAATAATTATTCCGCAATCTAAGTTGTGTGAATGGGGAAGGTGAGATCGGGACCCTGGCGCTAAGTTTTGCTTACCTAATCTCGAACCCTCCCTGGATCATATGGGACCCTGGCGCTAAGTTTGCTTACCTATCCTGATCCCTACTGCGAAGGGTTGAAAGCAAGTTTGTCAATTCTGTCCTTTTCAATCTTGAGTTTCAATATCCTACTTATTTTTTTTATTTATAACGGTTTATTTCGGTGAATGTACACATTTCTCAGTAAATGTCACACTACCATTTTGTTTTGGTAAATACACTTTTACATACTTTTAAATTTTAAATAT